ACCACATCTTCTTTATCCAGTCACCTGCTGATGGACATTTAGGCTGTTTCCATGTTTTGGCTATTGTAAATAGTGCTGCTATGAACATTGGGGTGCAGGTGTCATCCTGAAGTAGATTTCCTTCTGGATACAAGCCCAGGAGTGGGATTCCTACCTCTTGTTCTTACTTAATTAGATTACTAATTTCTGACATTTCTTATAGTCTCTTTGTCAGACTCAGTATCAGTCTTAACATTTCAATACCAACTTGCTGTCATGAAGTTTTCCTCCTCCTCTGAAATTCTCTAGGAAGTCGCGATATACCCTGTTATTTAGAATATTTAAATTTGAAATAATCTTTTCTATTTATGACCCAGTTCAAGAATTCTTCCCTAATTATTTTCTATTAATATGTTTCCTCTAAACTTATATATATACAATTTAAGTTTCTTTATTGGCTGGGTTAACCTAAATAAATTCATTTATTTTGGCAGAGCCTCGGTTGCCTTACTTATAAAATGTGGATAATATCATGTACTTCAGTTGGGAGTTGCAAGAATCAAATTCATCACGTGTACTAATCCCCATGATAGTTTTTATAAACTTTGAAATGTTAAAATAACAAATAATAGTAAGTACTGCAAAAACCACTATATATTCTAAAGAAATTATACATAGTGCATCAACTCACGTTTACTATGGAAATAAATGCTTGTGTTGTATCATACTCTTCTGCAATATACTGGAAAGCTCGCCAAAGAGCAACTCCAGCATCAGCTGTTCCATCAACTTCATCATCTGTATTAACAATGAACACAAAACCAATTCTGGGAAAGAAGATGAGTAAGAAATGTTACAACTACCTCTTGAACCATAATAAACTACAATTTTTAAACATTAAGCTAGAACATCCGGATGAAGGGAATATGTTAGTAGATGGGGGGAAGGGGAGTATCATTATTTGAAAGGGTTTGATTTGTAATGCCTGTTCACCAAAATCCTTATCTCTGTTGGATTCCTCGAAAATGTAGAACTTTCTCTGGTGGTGACATTATCAAATGACTTTTTTTCCCCCAGAAAATAAGAAGAGCGAAGTGTACTCTCAACTCAACCATGGGGAATGAAATGGATCCATCTTTAAGTACCCAAAGTGATACGATCATTCTCTCAGGAAGGTAACAGGGTAAACAAAATTATCAAGCAGCTCTGATAAACAGAATCTATCATAAGGGTGTACGATACTTCACAACACACAGGCATGTTGCGTCAAGCACTAGAGAGAACCATTGCTCTGAATTCCACATTAACACTCTGTGTAACACAACCTGAACATCATTAGATTTCCTTAAGCTGACAATTTGTTATAAATTGACAATTACCTAAGAGGCACTTTATAAAAATAGAAATGTTCAGCAAGTTTTATAAACTCCAAGGTATATTCTTGAGCAGGATCAATAAACAGAACCTGAAAGAAAGTAGACAGTCTATAATCACTACTTTGTTTTAATGCTTAAGAATTTTCATGAAATTGAAATTTAATTTCTGTAGCTAATAGTATGAAATTCAAGGTACAATTATTTTCTAAAGAATATTCTAGCAATTCTAAAGAATTCTGAGGAACGTATATAAGAAAAGAATTTCACAGTTTAAGAAGAGTTTCTAAAACCTACACATCCAAATATAATAATAAATGAAATGTACTCAGATTACTCATCCTCTTTTTGAAGCATAGCACAAAGTAAATAATTTTTTACAAGAAATGAAATACCTTATTCTAAATGTTCATAGATTTTTGTCATAAATTTTTTTTAATAGGAAACAGAAATTGAATTTTGACCAAAAAACCCAACATTAACATCTGCTCATTCTAGGTTGCTGCAGGAAATAAGATACTCACTTCCTGTGTGAAAAATATATAAAGCCCTAGGTGTTTTCTCCATATTTCAAAGTTCTATGATGTTATTTAACATTGTAATAACGAACATTTCTATGCATAAATGATAAAATTTACTTACATATTTATTTAGGTTTTTCCCCTGAAATGTACTGATCTTTATTAGCCCTTCATAATATGGAAGGAAGAAAAGTTTGATCATACATTCCTTTTAGAAAATGTAACAGCAACCCTTCAACTTAATATTGATATTAAGAAAAGCACGCGAGGGCTGGCTCAGTTTCCTGGTGGGGTGGGCTCAGCCTGCCTCACCTCCCTTCACAGGAGCCTAGAGCAGAGAGGCCGGGCGCCCTTCCGCACAGGGGAGGCGATTAAGACAGGAGCCTCGCCTGCATTGTCCTTGCCTCACATTTGGCCACAGTAACCTGGCAGGGGAGCTGATGGAAAGAAAAAAAAACAAAAAACAAACAAAAAAACACATGAGGGTTAAATAATAAGAGGAAGGTTCCATGACACTGCCAGCTCCTGATACCTAGTCAGCCATGTCACTGCAAGCTTGTTGCATCAGGCAAGTATTTCCTTCCTTATTCCTCAGACGCCTATTTACCGAGAGCAGGTAGTACAAAAGGAATGCTGGTATCTTTATAAAAGATGCATGCAAAATGTCAAAACATGAAACTCACCAAATTATGAAAATTACGCCTTATGGAAGGTACACTTCCAGGGAATACCGGCTTCAAAACTTCCCGACAACTTGCAGGCCACGAAACGTACAAATCATCACTTTCTAAGTCATTAATCCACTACAAAAGAATCAAGAAATCTGTGAAAGCTATATTAAAATAATATTTGAATCATTTTCAAAGCCAGATTTTACTCTTTCAAATAGCAAGTGAGATATACACAGGATTTTCTATATTTCTGATTAAGCACAAAAAGCTAGTTGAATATTCTTTAAGGATCACATCATGTGCAACAATTTTATTTTCCCACAGCCTTTTACATTAAGCCTTCCCTCCAAAACAATTGACTTCGCTTACTCACA